CACCCCTACCCGGCCCGGAGTCGTCCCGCGTGCGCCCCCTCCGCCCCCTCCCGCGGGTCCCTTCCCCCGCTCCGCGCGACCCCTCCCCCACCCCAAGCCCTTTCACCGCCTCGTCTCCTCCTGCCCCTAGCGGGCACTACGGCGCTGGGCCTCGTCACTGAGCTCTGGTATCTCAGGTGTCGGGGCCGGTGGGCGGCAGCAACCCGGACCCAGTGGCCGGCTTCATTAGCTGGTGCCGGCGGATGGGGCTGGAGCTGAGTCCCAAGGTGAGTGAATGGGTGGGCGGGCTGTGGATGGAGGAAGCGCGATGGGGCACGGGGCTACTTTGACCGGTCCCTCCCCTGCTCAGGTGGCAGTGAGCCGGCAGGGCACGGTGGCAGGCTACGGCCTGGTGGCCCGGGAAAGCGTGCAGCCCGGAGAGCAGCTGTTAGCGGTGCCGCGGGCCGCTCTCCTGTCACAGCACACCTGCTCAATCGGCGGCCTGCTAGAGCGAGGTGGGCATGCCGGCGGACCGGGGCACCGGGGTCGGGCCGCGGCGGGCCTCTCACCCCCGTGTCTTCCTCAGAGCGAGGCGCGCTGCAGAGCCAGTCCGGCTGGGTGCCGCTGCTGTTGGCCCTGCTCCATGAGCTGCAGGCCCCGGCCTCCCCTTGGAGCCCCTACTTTGCGCTCTGGCCCGAGCTAGGCCGCTTGGAGCACCCCATGTTCTGGTGAGCGCCGTGGAAAGGCTTGGGGAGTGCCCGCATCATAGCCTGCTCCCACCACCTTGCTCCGCGGACAGGGCCTCCAAGTACCAGTCCCGGTAGCGTGTGTGCAGGAACTTCGGTGGGGTGTCCCTGCAGGCCACAGGAGGAGCGCCGGCGCCTGCTGCAGGGCACAGGCGTACCTGAGGCGGTGGAGAAAGATTTGGCCAACATCCGCAGCGAGTACTATTCCATCGTGCTGCCCTTCATGGAAGCCCACCCTGATCTCTTCAGCCCCAGAGTTCGCTCTTTGGAACTCTACCACCAGCTCGTGGCCCTCGTAATGGCATATAGGTCAGTGAGTAGAGCCTTGGAGGACCAAACCCTTTTCCTTACAACTGTGTTGAGTGACAAGAGGGGGAAGAAGAGTGTACTGCACTCCCAGTTCTTCACTCAAGACTGGGTCTTAGCCAAGCTCTCTCTCTGGCAGTTTTCAGGAACCACTGGAGGAGGATGATGATGAAAAGGAGCCAAACTCACCTTTGATGGTGCCTGCTGCAGACATGCTAAACCACTTAGCCAATCACAATGCCAACCTAGAATATTCTGCAGTGAGTGGATCCCAACCAGTTCTTGTTCTTATGTGCACAGATTGAGCACTTCATTCAAACCAGTGTGTCATTGGGCTCCAGTCTTACTATGCTAAAAATGAGTAGGTGAAATTAGCTCCTCCTGTTTGTACTTTGAGTATGCATATTATGGTAAAATCGTTTGAACACAAAACATTTTAAAGCCTTCAAAGAAAGTTGTGCTCAGTCCTCATAAACTATAGTTACCATCATTTATTTGGTGCTAGAGGTTGGGTAGTCTGCATAGCCAGGTTTCGTTCCCCACTGGCTACTTTGTGCAGTGTCATAGGCCTGTGGACAGCCGCCTGGAACAGCTATCATTTCGCTTCTTTTGGGGAGGGAGGGGGAGAAGTGGGGATATTCATATCCTAGAAATCTAAGATGACCTCAGGGCTGTGTTTTTACCAGTTTTGTTTTATATGGAAAGTTGCAAGAAGAGATAGGTTTATGGGGTTAAAAATTAGTAAATATGGCTATTTCTAATCCTTGTCTCTATTTGCTTTTCCCTACTTTGGTCTGGGTTTAATTGTTCATTGTCAAAAGCTAGCAACTTTTCAAGTGCTGAAGATGACTGAGCAGAGATTCACCCGATAAAACATGAAGCTGACCTTTTTAAGTCAGCCTCACCCCTTTCATTGTACAGTACAGGGTCTAATAGGAGCTAAAGGTAGAATGTTGGTAGATATAGCATCAGTCCCATGGCTGAACTACACCTGCTGGAGACTCTTCCTAAGAGGGAAATAATCTTTATGGGGTGGCCTGGGAAGGGCATGGCCCCAGCTTCTCCATTTCACCCTAGAATTATCTTCGGATGGTGGCCACTCAGCCCATTCCTAAAGGCCATGAGATTTTCAACACTTACGGGCAAATGGCTAATTGGCAACTGATTCATATGTATGGTTTTGTCGAACCATATCCTGACAACACAAATGACACAGCTGACATTCAGATGGTGACAGTTCGTGAAGCAGCATTACAGGGTGAGTGTCTTGACTCAGTCTTTGACACTGGTGGCTATGTCTATTACCCGCCGCAGGTTATAATGGTTTTGCTAAAAGCAGTTGACTGGTTTTATAGACTAGGTGATAGCTTAAAGGAGAAATGAGCACTTGGGTATACTGAGACTTTTGTACTATCGCTTTATCTATAGGAACAAAAGTTGAAGCTGAAAGACTTCTACTATATGAGCGCTGGGATTTCTTATGCAAACTGGAGATGGTAGGGGAAGAGGGAGCCTTTGTGATTGGGCGGGAGGAGGTGCTGACTGAAGAGGAACTGACCATCACACTAAAGGTAAAGGGCTGAGAATGGCCATTTAATGCTAACAAATAGCTTAAGTATTTAGAGTGAAATAGCTACAAGATGAAAGGTGGGGTACAATGAGAGAACACTTTTAATAACTGCTGCTTAGATAGGTTGGGACTCCTGTAAATCAATTTTAGAAATACACAAGTAGTACACCCTGATTAAAGGGCCCCATGGTTGCTTCTAGGTACTATGCATGTCTGCTGATGAGTTCAGAAAGTTTAAAGACCAGGATGGATGGGGAAACGGTAAAAGGGAAGAAGACAGCCTGACAATTGCAAATATTCCCAAGCTAAAATCATCATGGAGACAGCTTCTTCGAGACAGTGTTCTGTTGACCCTGCAAACCTATGCTACAGACTTAAAATCTGAGCAAGATTTACTCAGTAGTAAGGAAATCTACGCCAAGCTCAGCTGGAGGGAACAGCAGGCCTTACAGGTTCGCTATGGTCAGAAGATGATTTTACATCAGTTGTTGCAACTGACAAGTTAGCAGGATGTCTATGGTCTGAAGGATCAGCAATAAGAACTTTATTCTAAGCTGATGTTCACTGATGCTTGAGAAGGAGGAAAATCTGGATTTTTGCTTTTCTTAATTAGATACCAAAAGGGAAAGTAGCAAAGATGTTGTGCTAGGATTAACTCTGAGGTAATGGTGAGGTGTTTGATTAGGAACAGCAGGCTTAAGAACATTTTAAAGCTATTTTGTTCTCTTCTGGATTTTTGCTTTTCTTAATTAGATACCAAAAGGGAAAGTAGCAAAGATGTTGTGCTAGAATTAACTCTGAGGTAATGGTGAGGTGTTTGATTAGGAACAGCAGGCTTAAGAACATTTTAAAGCTATTTTGTTCTCTGTCTTAACCAAAGCCAGCAGAAATATAGTAATAAATAGGCTGTCTTGTATTCTAGCATTTAATAACATGGACTTTGGAGGTGGACCTGGTTCAGCCTGGGGTCTATTTTGAGGAAGTCATTTAACCTTTTTCTTTCTTTTTTTTTTTTAAAGAGATTCCATTTCCTGTTATAGAGGATTTAATAAGCTATATGACTGGCACTTGGTTAGAGGGGTTGCTTTAATTCCCCCTTCAGTTATCTAATCAGCAGTCTGAAGTTTGTATAACTCACCCTTCAGGGAATAAACTGTAAGACGCCAAGGACATTCAAGTCCCACTCGTGTAAGACTTCAAGTATTTAATTTTGAACCATTTTGTTCTCTCTGGCCATAAAACTTGACAGTCATTAAGTGTAAATTTTAAGCGGGCTGAGTTTTAAATATATACCTATTCATTTTCTTTTAAAAATATCAAAACACCTTGGGGTAAAGGATATTAGAGAAACAGAGAAACATAGGCATTTTATAACTCAATTTAACCATAGAAACCTGACAATTTTCCATTGTTGGAAAGAAAACAGGAGAAAAAAACTGTACAAAAACAATTCCCATGTTTGTTTAAGCATGCCAGCTTAGAAGTGAGAAAGGTCTATCATTCCTCATTCAGCAAGAAGTTGTTGTTTCCCGATGGCCCCCTCTGCAAAGGCTGGGCTACGCACTTTGCTCCTCATCACCAGCACTGGCTGCTGCTACTGTGAAAGGCACAGTGGACTCACATGTGTGTCATGACTTTAATGTTTAACTACAGTATGCATCCACATTTAAGAAGTGGGAGAGCTAAAGCTCAGGAACTAGAAAGGCTACAAAATACAACATAGCAACCAATACATCTCCAAAACATTCGAAATCCTTACAAAAGGTGCTGTATTGGTCTTTTTAAAAAAAAACTTATTTGTTGTTCAACTCAGCCGATATGGCTGTTCAGTGGGATAAATGGGGGATGACAGTTCATATGATTTGGTTCCCTTTCCTTTCCCTACAATTTACAAGTATTAGGAGAGGGATGGGGGAGCTTTAGGCCTGGTCTGGTGTCCCCTATAGGGAGAGCTGACCTTGTCTCACAGGCACAGTGTATATATAAACAGTTAGTACAACTGTTGCTTTCCCTGCTGGCAGCTTTAGATAGAAGCAAAACAAAAACCCATGAGATCTCAACTGAGAGCCCTCCCCATGTTCCGTTGCACACTGAATTCTAGCACAACCACATTTTAAATAATTTAGTGATTTCCAAGGTCCCCTGTCCACATTTTTTTTAAAAAGTTGCACAGTATTTAAACTGGCTTTTTGCTGTTCTATGGGACACCAAGAATGTCAGAAGACATGGAGCTATGCCCTCAGAAAAGTGCATGGCTTCAGCTGTCTCTTACAAGGTACAAATTTATGTATTTACCTTGGACACATTTTGCACAAACCCAAGAAGTTCCAGACAAAGGTTTTTTCTCTTTCATATATTTACACAAGTTCAAAATGATATTCACAGCATCTTCTAAATTTTGGCCAAGAGTCAAAAAAATGCATTAAACTTTGGAACCCACATAGACAGGAGGCTGACCCAACCAGCAGTTGGGGCAGATACCCGAGAACCAAAGGGCTGGAAGGTCAGGAAGAGCTGAAAAGAATTCTTCAGTTTATCAACTTGGCGCAGTGGGATCTCCAGGCTGAAACCTTTGCAACGGAGCTGCAGTTCCATCTAACTGGCACCTGTCCCTTCCATTACTTGCTGAGCCTGCTTCTGCCCCATGCAGCACTGTGCAACCGACTGGAATAACCTGAAGAATGGAGACAGTTGCAAATTCATTTGTGAGAAAAGTTTAGGCCTAACAACACCTTGTATCTCTTGTTTTAGCTGTTCTTGCCATGTTAATCACCAACCCAAGCTGGAGAAAACAAATGATTCTCATTCCCCGAAAATTAAAATTGCTTTTAACTCACTTTTCAATTTCTGGGGCACAGTGTACAAACTCATGATTCCAGAACTTAAATGCTGGATTTTTAATCAGCTCAATGAAGGTAATAAGAAGACCCCAAGGATGTGGCCTATTTACAATCAACCGTTCCAAGAGAACCCTGGAGAAGGGGAGAGAGGGTTACTAGTTAATGCACAGAGAAACATGCAAATTCATGACCAATTCTCCACTACCTTTTTTCTGATTCTTCTCCCTGATTATTAAACCACGTGCAAAAGTTTTTACCTTTACTAAAGACAGGTAGATTATTCTTTATACTCTATACTCTATACAACACTCTTAGTGTAAATGGATTCTGGATAGGATACCTGGGTTTGAGTCTTGACTCTTTCTATTTACTAAACCCTAGAATACTATTAACATAAAGTAAGTGTAACAATATATATCTCAGAGCTGATCAGAATAAGATGGTGGGGAGAGAAGCCACATAAAGCCCACAGAGTACATGGCACAACGTAATCACTTCAAGAATGAACATCCAATGAAAATGAGGAACAGGAAACAAGAATTCTAACACTCAGTGCATATATAAGTTGGCAAAAAATTTTTGAATGGCAATAAGTATTGGCCTAAATATTCATATCCTTTCACCTAACAATTGTACTTCTAAATTTTCCCTAAGGCAATAATGAAACACAAGAACAGATTAAGTGCAAAAAGGCTTACTGCAGCTTTACATATGATCACAGAACTGGACATTATCACCTAAGCATTCAATAATAAAAGAGTAAATTTTGATATACAAACCTAAGGAATACCATATTTAGCACCACCACAAGTACTACTATTAGATGAATGGGAAGGTTTTAAAGTTTGGTCCAACTTTTAAAGTATACATCTCTCTGACCAGAATCTACCTATTTACTAATCTCCATTGCTATATACAGTCGAAACAATCTGCAACAGATTCCTAAGTATTGTTAGGAAAACACAAGTATGAAGGTCCTATTATTGCTCCAGCTTAAAGCCTTTCAACCCAGAGACAAGGAGGAAAAGTCCAAGATCCTTAATACAGTCTTTAATATGACCGCATGATTCAGGACTAGTTAAAAACAGCCACTCCACCTTCACAGAGAAACTCCTGACCAAATCACATCAAAATGTTGTGTGCCTTTTGTTGTAAACTACATTTCAGCAATAATTATGATTTATCATTCTCTACATGGGACTTTTTTGTGTCTATCAGACTAAATATTAGGCAGGCAGAAAGCATCTCCATTTTTTTCATAACTATATCCCACATGTAACACATCACGAAGCATCTTTTACATGTCCAATAAACACTGAATGCATGCAAAAAAAAAAAACCCCAAGAATTCAAAATGAGGGGGTAGGGGGCACTACTTTGAGGCATTTGAAAAAATAACCTCTCTCTTACCTTGTGATCTGTTCCTGGATAGCTTCAGTGTTGGCCTCTGCAAAAAGGTACAGCATGGTGCAGCTGAAGTAGTGAGTGTGGCTATTTGGGTACCGCAGCTGATTTGCAATTGCATTCAAGAAAAGATACCGACCTAGAAATTAAGAAAACTTGATTTTGGTGAGGTGAGGACTTGCGAATGGCCAACATGGGAAGACATTAGTTCTGACTCGCTAGGGTTTGGATTTCTGATAGAGGCTTTTAAATTATTCTTTGGTTTAAACTAGTGGTTCTCAGGATCCCAAAGTTTTTATTTCCGTGGGTTTTAATTCAGTATTTTCCATGAGGAATTAAAAATAAGATTTAAAGATACTGTCATTTAAAAAAACAGACCTGGGCCGGCCCATGGCTCACTCGGGAGAGTGCGGTGCTGATAACACCAGGGCCCCGGGTTCGGATCCCACATAGGGATGGCCGGTTCGCTCACTGGCTGAGCGTGGTGCTGACAACACCAAGTCAAGGGTGAAGATCCCCTTACCGGTCATCTTTAAAAAAAAAAAAAAAAAAATACTAAAATAAAATAAATTTTAAAAAACAGACCTACTAATATGTTAATATAAATAACAAAAAGCAAATGTCTTTTTACTATGAAAATAGTTTGACCTCACAGCCCCTCTAAAAGGGTCTTGGACCACCACCACCCCCAAGGGTTCTCAGACAGCACTTTGAGAACCACTAAACTATACTGGGATAAATTATTATCTTAGTTGGGTTTGGTTGTCTGCCTCTGCTTGATATTATTACTATCTATAAGACTATCACAGTGACCCTTAAGACTTCTTCCCTAAAGGCTGCCCTCTAATTGCTGAACTCTGGGTGTAGGGTATTCAATTTTGTTAAATTTTGATTTTAAGCTGTGTCAAATCCCTTCTACAAATAGGCATGCAGTATATATACCCAATATTAATTAGCCTCTCAAGAATCCATAGCAAAGTTAAAAGTAGGTATCCTTGTAAAGTATGTGTGTGCTAATATAAGCAGGACTATATAGGTAGTTGGCACCTAACTGGGGTCTCTATTATATAGGAATGAATATTGAGCATCTAAAGAAATAAAAGCTCAACCAGGAAAGAAGTGACCTGTAATACTGTGAACTTCTTGCAGAACAGAGATGTCCTATTCATTAATCTTTATACACCTAACATCTAACATGTTGCCTGGCAAACAGGTAAATGGCAGGCTGACAAAATGATGTAACATGAGCCTGTCTTTCACTACTAAAATGAACACTGGACACTAAAATACTGCAGTCACACACACCAAAATATTTACTAATATGACAGGATTTTGGATTATTCTTTCATTAATGCATTTCTGTGTTTTCTTCATTGAGCAGATAATATCCAAATTAAGGTAAAAAACCAGGCAGACCTACAAATATACTGACAAATCACTTCTCGATTGTGGCTTAAAGCATTTTTATATTTTTGTGATCTGAACTGTGGCAAAATGCACCAAGAACTTGACTCTTAAAACTGTGTGGCTTCACTCACCCTCAGTGTCCAAATCCACAGCCAGGTTCTGGAAGATGTCCATGTGTGCTGAGTGGGTGATGGTGCTCATTGAAGGTGTGCTGCCCTTGTTGTGGATGTGTGCAATAGCCTGAGTCCCTACGTAGAGCACCAGTGCATTGATGAGCTGGAGGTTGTAGCGATTGCCAGGCTCATTGGATACCTAAACAAGCAAAACAGAAAGCTTCCTTACTCCCACAGAGGACTGATTCTAGTACTAATAATTCTAAACCCTTCTTATGCCTCCACAGAAAGGCTAAATTGTTCTCAACATTCTTTGTGACTTAAATGACAGAAACTTGCTTGAGTTTGTGAGGTTATTTAACAAATACACAGCTGCCCCAATGGTGGCTGTGTCAACAGAAACATGATTTCCCTTGGGAAGCCAAAGCTTTAACATATCATCACTGTGCTCATGTCACAGCTCTAAAGTTTACAAAGTCAAAATATGTACTATCCCAATTATAATAAAGATTTGGAGAGGGAGAAAGTTGTGGCTGCATGGTGTGGAATGACTGGAACGATAGTACAACTTAAAGTTGTTCTATACAGCAAATTAAAACAATCCATTTATTTGGAAAAATCTTGGAGTACAAACAGGGAATGACAATCAGTAGTATAACAGAAAATCAAATGGTCCATTCCCTGGTTACCTCATCCAAAGCTGCAGCATGTGTCACTAATGAAATAAACTAGTAAAATATATTATCCAGGTAAGTTCACCCAACTGACAGAAATGACCATATGTTTTTAAATCTTTAAATCAAGTTAAAGAAAATAAATCCCAAATGGGCCATACATAGAATCATGCCTAAAAGTGCTTTCTATGAAAGACACATCTGAGAATATAACCCAACCCAATTAACCTGTAGGTTGCTGCGCAGATCAGACAGAAAAGTGACTGGCGATCGAGTTTTAAGATAGGAATCCAAATCCTTTTTAAACTGAGGTGGCATCACCCCAGTGAAATTGGTGAGAATCCGGGGTGCAATGTTAATTTCACTCAACATGTCCACCTGTCACAAATACAAGAATCACAAGCATTTGTAAGAGTTCACAGCAAATTTTATCAATGCTAGAAAGTAGTAGGATTGTTTTTCTAAAACTATACACATTACAAATGAAGAGTAGAGCTGCCACTTTTTATTACTTTAATCAATCTTTAATTAGAAGAACCTACATATAAAATGTAAGAATTTCTCATTCCATAATGTATTTCCTTTCTAAAATAAGGCAAAAATAGATCCCTTTTGTGAAGAGGTCTAGTGTGCACCATTTATCAATTTTTCTTGGACTTGGATTTAAAGAGTCCAGAATGAGATTCCTCACTCACGAAGAGCCCTATCTATGTCTTTAGAAGAAGGCCCAGCAGAACAAGAAAACATCACACTTACTACTTAAAAAAATGCATGTGAAATTTAAAGAGTAAAGAATACATAAAAAACTATAGTAAACATGTCAGGACAGTCTATGTCTTTAGAAGAAGGCCCAGCAGAACAAGAAAACATCACACTTACTACTTAAAAAAAATGCATGTGAAATTTAAAGAGTAAAGAATACATAAAAAACTATAGTAAACATGTCAGGACACTGGGTTTTAAGTGGTCCCTTCTCTCCTTTGCTTCAGCAATTTAATCAAAACCCAGTCAGCGATGGATTCAACCAACTGTGGATTTAAGTATCCAGGAGGGAAAAACAAAACCAGGGGGGAAAAAACATAAAAACAATAAAAAACTGAAAAACATAATTGAAATTAAATGAAATAAAAATATTAAAAATTAAACAATACGGTATAATGACATTTACATGGCATTTACATTTTATCTGCACTGTAAGTAATCTAGAGATGATTTAAAGTATATAAGAGTATGTGCCTAGTTTATATGCAAATATTATACCCTTTTATATAAGGGACTTGAGCATCTGCAGATTCTGGTATGGAGGGAGAAGGTCCTGGAACCAATCCCCCAAGGGACAACTATATAAGCACACACACATAAAACATCTATGAAATCTGGGCATAACTAAGGTCTGTTTGTTCTGCAGTTCTCTGCTACATGGGGCCACCCAGCAAATGACTGCCCAACACCTAGGCTGGGGTTCTATACATATAGCTAAATTTAATACCGAAATTAATGCAAAAAATAAAAACTAGAAAAATACTGTGAAACCAATACGTAGCAGGAGCAATAGCATACCCACATGATTGTTTCTTCCCCTCAAAAAGTATCCTTACCTAAAAAATAACGTGTATGTTGAGGAGAGGGAGGTTAAATAGCTTGTTTATAAGAGAAAGGGCTAAAAAAATTAAGACGTAACTTTTTCTTGAACTGTTTGGAACTTTACCTTCAGATTAGGAGTGAATGGGTCTGGGAGCCTCATGTTTCTTGGGAAGGCACTCAGGATCAAATTTCTTAACTGGATACAATTAGGTGGGATTACATCACAGAACCCATAATGGTAATCACAAAGGAACTCAGGGAAATCATGCAAAAGAACCAGCAGCACTCTTAAAGTGCCCTATTTTTAAAAAACAAAAAAAAAATTTCCACAGTAAGTAAGGAAAAGTAACATTTTTTCTATTATGAATGTAACTCGAGTAAAAAAAAAAAAAAGACAAAAAGTATACTTCAAGAATATAAAAACAAGGTTACAGGCTTTAATCAACACTAACAATATTATTACAGGTGATTTATCAAAATATTTACATTTAGAAATGAAAAACTAGACATCAGGAGTCATTACAGTCATAAATGAATATGCCAGAAGAAGCTGGACAAAATTTTAAAAAATACAATGATATGTTTATCTTCAGAAGCTAGAAAAAGAACTAATGGAAACCAAAGAAAGTAGAAGAAAAACAGCACATATCAATTAAAAATTATATAAAGCACTAAAAGGGGAAGGGGAAAAATCAAAGCTAAAAGCAGTTATTAGAAAAGATTAACAAAACTGATAAACTCTACAACACTGATGAAGAAAACAAAAAAATTACTAATATCAGGAATGAAAAAGGAACTATCACTACAGATCCTTCAGGCATGAAAAAACGGTTTAACAGGTAGTACGTAGAACACCTCAGCAACTTGAGACAAAGATCTTATACAAGTCACAAAAAGCAAACTTTAATAAAAATTTTTTAAAAAGATAATTTTGACTACAGTAATTTTTAAAGCTTGTTTTCCTCAAGACACCTTCCTTTAAGGGGGTGAAAAATCAAGCTGTGAGAGTGGGAGATAACCTGAATATACAGTTGGCCTTCCATGTCTGTGGGTTCCACATCCATGGATTCAACCAACTGTGGACTTAAACTATTTGGGGGGGAAAAAAACCCACAAAGTTCCAAAAAGCAAAACGTGAATTTGCCACATGTAGAATTTACATTGAATCCATGCAAATGAAGTGATGTGCAGCATTATATTAGGTATTATAAATAATCTAGAGATGATTTAAAGTATATGGGAGAATGGCCATAGGTTCTATGTAAATACTACACACCATTTTGTATCAGGGACTTGAGCATTCGAAGACTTTGGTATCCGTGGGGGTGCTGGAATCAATCCCCTCCCCCCAATACTGAGGGATGACTATATATCAAAGAGCTTATGTCCAGAAGATATGAAGAACTCCTATTTAAAAAATAAGAAAAATGCTAACAATCCAAAAGAAATATGCAAAAAGACTGGAAGAGGAACATCAGAAAGGGGGATATCCAAATGGCCAGACTACACATGAAAACCTCACTAAGAAATCATCAAGGAAATGCATATTAAATCCACATTGAGATCCTACTGCACAACTGCCAAAAAGACTAAAATGAAAAACAGGCAATATCAGGTATGGCAAGGATGTGGAAAAACAATACCTCTGATGTGCTACTGGTACAGACACTTTGTAAAACTGGAGTATGTACTAAAGTTGAACATATGATCTGGGTGCTGGTTATATAAGTATGTTTGATTTTTGCACTTTTCTGAAGGTACATTATAATTTAAAAGCTTAATAAATAAAAACAAAAAGCCTCATATTTGTAGCTGAAAGTGAGTTTTTAGTTCTGGACATTAATTTATATATTCAAATTAATTACCTTGTAGAGGATTTGCATAGGTTTGGTGAGTTCCACATTTCTAAGGAAAGGAGCTAAATATTTGAATAAATCAATCAGTAGCTGTGCATACATAGGCCACCCCTGAAAGAAAGAAATGTACATGAGTCATAATTATACTCAGCTGTCGTTTGGCCACCAAGAATTGTCCAAGCAACTACACTGGGACTTCATGATTATCTTCTTCTTACTAATATAAGTAGAGAATACTAACATAAGCACCTCTCCTAAAAAAGGACCAAGTAATTATGAAGACAGTGGGAAATGATACTTGAAACAAACTTGCTCCAGAGATTTCAGGACAATGGTCCTTGTGCCTGTAGCAAAATTAAAAAAGGGAAAGGAAGAAAACTTGAAATTTCAAACAGAACACAAAACACTCAGCCAGCTGATAAACTGACAACTAGTTGTCTGTTTCCTTAACTCCTTTTAATTAAGTCCTGGGTCTCAACCATTTCTTTTCCCATCCCCACTTCCTGGCAAATAACCTCCTCAAGTTTACAAAAGGAATCCTCTATTTTCAGCCAAACTTGACCTGCTCACTGTCAACCATATCAATAATATTCATCCTTGGATAATTTTATTCAATATGTTGTGTTCCATCCTACTGGAATGGAATGCTTTTCCACCAAACAAAACCAACTTCATTTAAGGGTTATTTCACCACTTTTTTTTTTTTTCCAAGTTCACTTCACACAGTAGTCACATTTTCTTCTGATCTAAAGGGCCAAACAAGGGGGTACTTTCTGCAGTACTCATTTGCCATTTAATTGCAAGGTGGAACAGAAACTTCTCATGTTAACTGTGTTGTATTCCTAATTAAACTAAGAACTCTTTAACAGAACTTGATCATAATCCTTCAAATAAAATAGTCCAGTGGTCCTCAAAATTAAGTACAACACCTTTTCAGCATTTAGAGTGAAAACTGGCAAAACTAGCAAGCTCTGGAGCCTCATTACCCAGAGATTTATTCAGATAACTAAGGAGGCACTCAAGGATTTCAACTTAAAACCTTAACTGACTAGCATGTAAAACAAATCATTCTTGTGTATAAAGCAGCAAAACACTGAAACACAAAAAAACCTTAAGAGATTGGCACAGGTGGCCCACAACAGAGTTGAAGAAAGAACACCCTAAATCACTGAGGAATGGCTTTCAGGCAGAGGCAGTTATGTACGTGGGTAAACCTCTCTCCATGTCTTGACTCAACACTAAATAGAAGAATTCCCAGCTAAGCTTGGAAGAAGTATAATTACTACTAAATGACTAATAGAAATCTACAGGTGTGCTAATAGGCCCTAGGTAGTTACAGTCTTCATCTGTAGGAGATAAACTGCAGCCACACCTTCTGCTGTGGCGTATGTGCCAGCATTCTTGCAATAAATATCCGATGGGAGATCAGTTCAAGCCAGGCATACACAAAGCCAGGAGCTTTGGTAGGCCTCAAGATGTGGAATGTATTGCTGGAAGAAGAAAAACCTTAGTCAGAAGCACAGTCCAGCTTAAATATGTGAACAACACATGAATGTAAGCAATGTGCAATTGTCTCATAAATCAACATGCCTCAATCCACAAGAGTTCTACCCTAAACCAGCAACCCTTAACAGGGAACCCCTATTAAGCCCAAGAATACACACCAGAAAGCTGTAAGTGTCTGGAAATTAATGGTTTCCAACACATGCTCAGGTGCATTGAGTTCCAAGAGCAGCATGATAAATATTCGATGGTACGGAAGCTGCTGAAATTCACTTTGCCGAACATCGTGATCCTGCAGGAGAACTCCCACTACTATACCAAGGACCTATATAGAACACAGATTAGAGCTTGTAAGCCATATAGATAACTCACTAGCCACTTTCAAATCATGCTTTCTTCAGCCCCAAATTAAAAGAAAGGATATATACCATTTGAATACAAAATTATATGCATGCAGCTAAAGAGGCCACAAATTGGTTTAATTTGGCCTGCAGTGTTTTTTTGTGTGTGTCTGTATTTTTAATTTCAATATCCTAGAACCACAAATATCCTCCACAAATGCCCACTGGTTTTTCTAAAGCTCCAGAAATAAGCATGGCCCCTCAAATTTCAACATGTTAACACAATGTAATTCTTCTGGTTGGACATGAAATTGACAAGTGGCAAATGGTTTATACTTTCTTGGCATTTAGTAGTGGAGGCCAGGGAAGGTATTAGGCTGCAGAAATATCTCATTCAAAGAATTGTCCTGCACTCCACTTGATTTGCCCACTGGACAGTGAGGAACATGAAGAACCTATTTGTAGTTTATCAATACCAAAATCTAAGTCCATTTTCACATATGTTTACACTATTTTAATATTCAAATTTCCAAGACCCCCACTGTGTAAATCAAGTCAATGACTAAATGTCACTCATGGTATTTGATTTGCCAGTCTGTTAGTGGACATGTCTCGCCACACATTCATAGTTATTCTGTGTATAGAGGCAAATCCCAAACTACCTAAACCTTCTATTGTAGTCATTACCAAGCATTAACATACTGGAATACATTATGATTTTTTTTAAAAATTTCAGTTAAGGCACTATACTCATACTAAAATCTGATGGGTACCTAAACCTTCTATTGTAGTCATTACCAAGCATTAACATACTGGAATACATTATGATTTTTTAAAAAAATTTCAGTTAAGGCACTATACTCATACTAAAATCTGATGGGTATTGTTTACATATTATCTATGAATTTAATTTCAGGACAGAAAAAGGATGTTACAGAATGTTTGGGGGGAAAGATTAGGCTCAACAGGTTGAGAACCACTAATGCATACTCAAGTGTACCAAGACTAAAGGCAAGAAAGGATTCCAGACCTTGTTCAGCAGATTAATCTTTGTGACAGTGTTGGTGGCCTCCCCTGAGTGCTTCACTAGAAGTGCAATGAGTCGGACAAAGGCATCCAGGTTGTGGTAGCACTTGGCTCGGATCATGGTGGGATTAGCAGCAGGATTGTGCTGCTGCTCAGCCTGAGCACGATAACTGATTTCAACACACATTTCAGTACATAGACGAAAGAACCTTGTTATGAGGTCATCAGTCTTCAGTATTCCTTGTTGGTGCATCTACCATGGGAACAAAAAATAAAGAGACACAATGAGACAATACACATAAACAAACTTTGTATATTTTAATTTTCATGCTTAATTTTCATGTTCTTTCATTTGTTCCTACTGTCACATTTCTAATTCTTACTTTATAAATAAAAGTGTCATTAGGAGAATTACTTCCCCATTAAGGAACCATGACAGAACTCTTACAGTTTTAAGTTTAATGGAGTATAGAGAAGATGGAAATTGACAGGTAATATCATGGCAATTGTGAACAGTAGAAAACTGCCAAATAATTTGAAAAATGAACTATGCAAATTTCCATCCTAGGAAACCAGAAAAAGAAGAGCAAACTTAGAGTAAGAAAAGGGAGGAAATAATAAAGAGAAAAGCTTAAATTCATGAAATTGAAAACAAATTAACAACAGAGAAAAACAGCAAAGCCAAAAGTTAGTTCTTTGAAAAATCTCAGTACAATCAATAAACTTCTATCCATATTAATCAAGATAGAAAGTGGTAAGACAGACCAATATAAGGAAAGAGAGAACAGCACTACAGATCCTAGAAACATTAAAAAGATAATAAGAAATACTGTAAAAAATATTTTGCCAGTAAATTGATCACTTAGATGAAATGGACAAATTCATTGAAAGACCAGAGCTCATTTAAGAAGAAATAGGTAACCTTAATACCTCCAAATCTATTAAAGCAATTGACCTTTTAGTTAAAACACTTCCCATAAGGAAAATTTGTGACTACATGGCTCACGTGAGTTTGGTGAAATCAACCAGACTTTTAAGGAAGAAGCATACCAATTCTATACCAGCTCTTCCAGAAGACACAAGAGGAAGGAGTACTTCCCAACTCATTTTATGAAGCCAGTATCACCCTGACACCAAAACCAGACAGGCCAATATCCCATAAGAACAGATGTGAAAATCCTTAGCAAAATATTAACAACTCAAATCCGGCAATACAGAAAAGGAGCCCACCCGGAACCCACATCTTGATTTCCGTATACCATCCTCAAACAAAAGGAACCAGGCCTTCCTGGAGAAATAGCAGATTCTACAGCTGGGACGAGGACAACGCAAGATGAGCTTGGAGCACCTTGCAGCACCAGAAAGTGAGGAAGTACTCAAAACAAACAGAAAAACAAACACAAAAAACAAAACACAAAAGAAAAAGTACCCCCCCCCCCCAAAAAAAGTGACAGTGAAATAAGCATTGAGGCTGCAGAGAAAGGAGAAGGTCAACACTTACTAAACAAAGAAACCAAGGCCAGAAAGAAAACCTGAAGGTTATCTTGGAATTTTGAAAACAGTTTAACTGTCCCTTGATAATTAATAAAAGAGCTAAATGTGGTAGGACTATGCAGGACTAGCCAAGACAGAAGGTCAGCAAAGGGACTTTTATACTGCAATCTGAAACAAACAAGAGGGGAAGGAGTGAGGACCGACTATGAGCAAGAGAGCACAAGAAGAAAAGGCATTCTCAAAAGGATACAAAAGGGAACAGGAAAGTATAATACATGATCTCTCTCAAGAGAAATGGAGAGAAGTGAGAGCAGTAAGTCAACAGGAAGAGCTGAGACAGGTGCCACATCCATACCCATGAAATAGCAATGATCACAAAAACCAATTGATTCAGATTTCTTCCATCCAAATCAGAAATCAAACTATGTATACACAGTAACAGCTTTTCAATAGGGTATTATTTTGTAAATCCCTGGAATCTTTTAGATTTGAGAAATTTACTTCGTAGGATTTACTAAGTAACATTCATCTTGAAAAGTAAATCCAATTTCTAACAACTTCTAAAATTCAAATCAGCTCTTCCACATTTAGTTGTCTTTTATTTGAAAATAGACCTAATCTGTATTCTTTCCTTGGCGACATATCTAAGTTTTGGTTTCAGTTTGAAGAAATATAATGGTCAATCTGCATAAATAAGCAGACAGCTAACCCTGAACAAACAGTACAACAATTCTACTAAAGAAATTCTAAGGCCAGTTCAGGAAAAGTACCACTCTTGCCAAATTTATATTATAATTAGGATACACTGACAAGTGGACTTATTCCTTCACAGTCACTGAAAGCAGCCAGTGATGATCAAAAACAGAATGCTAAATGGTAATATGTCTGTTTTACATATTTTTTCTGCTCATCCTACTCACAAATATAAGTATTCCTACCAAATCTGATACTTAAGCTAGGGACTTGGTCCCTAACACTTTAACTCAAAGTTCCAATTTACATCAAATTTAATGAAAAGAAATACTGCAAACTACTTTCTGAAAGAACACGTTACTGTGTTTAGGTAGATAAGCTACTTAAATTAGAAAATACAATAAAATGCTCTACATTTAAATATTTTATTTAAGTTTTGGGGGTTTTTTAATCTTATTTTTTTTAAACATGAGTTATTAAGAAAACTTTACATATTTATTGGCCCATAATTTTCGTAATTTTATTAGCTTGATAATCAACAGTGACATGTAGAAGTCTCATTATTCATTATCTGACTTTCTGTACTCTGTAGCTGTGATAACCAAAATGGAATAAATAGAACTAAAGGGGGTGGAGAATGTTGACTTTACTGCTTAATGATCAATTATTAGGAAACAAATAGGCTGTTATCAATTTAACAGAGCACGATGATGACATTTTGGCTTGCATGAGTATGGAGGTAACTATATGACCACAAGTACATAATACTGAACTTTATTTAATATTGGAGGCACCACACCCTACTTATGTTGAATAAAAAGCACCTTTCTTTCCAAAAGCTCTACCTGTCCAACAAACGCAGAGAAAGCTTTGGTACTGTCACGGCCAGCTGCTGCTGAATGGTAGAGATTCACCCATTCCCTCAGAAGATACTCTGCCTTCTCCCTCAGGCCTGGAGGGTCATCGTACTCTGAGGCTTGAGAGATCCCAGAATGCATCATAAAGTTAGGGCCTCCATGAGCACGATCAATCATTGCTTCATAGTTGGATCGCACTACTTCCATCAGCTGAGGCAATCTAGTACAATAAATCCAGAGTGAAAATCAGTCTACTCATGGTTGTGATTTCAGACATACAGCTGGACAAACTGCTCATTTATTAGAAATCACAAGAATGATGATCATTTCATTTCACCATTTCCATATTTAAGCAAAACTATCCTTGGTCTTTTCATATCTCCTTACTTTTGAGGATGTAATATGCAAGTAACTGATCTCAGGTAAGCTACTTCCTGACAAAAAAAGGTGTCCATTCACGTGGAGCTGATGTTCAGAGTAGACAAATATTCACTGCTTGCCTGCTATGTGCCATGCCTTCTTTATGTTTATCTCTTAATTGTCAACAGTTCTTTGTGAAATTATTTCCATTTTATATAAGAAACATGCTTAGGGCTGGTAAGTCAACTTGTTTAAAATCAGAGACCTTTAAAGTGGTAAAGCCAGGGATTAAACAGAGGACTCTGACACCAAGTCTAGTACTGTACGTACTGCTCTACACCAAGAAAGCTTGGCAGTTAGTAAGCTTTCATACTTCAAGGGACAGTACCTTTAAAGTGGTAAAGCCAGGGATTAAACAGAGGACTCTGACACCAAGTCTAGTACTGTACATACTGCTCTACACCAAGAAAGCTTGGCAATTAGTAAGCTTTCATACTTCAAGGGACAGTATCAAGCTTAACTAAAGCTTCACATATGCTGTAGGTAAAGCAGTTACAAGTAATGTTAGTAAGTCTGCACACTCATTTCTAAAGCTCTTTCTTAGGAAACTGCTGAATGCACACGGATCCTAGCACATTTCATCCTCACCCTTCTGGAGCGTTGCCTCTGGAATGAGCATTAATCCTCATGAGGGTTTCAATGGTGTGGAACAGATCTGCCTCAGTAACATGGGCAACACTTCTTTCATCCACCAGCAGGATTTTTACCAATTGCATAGCAAATGCCACAGCCATGTAGTTTAAACCATTCTCCATTGACTGGCAACACAGAAGATACAATGTAAGAGAAAGCACTTAGAGCAAACACACTTTCTGAGTCACTCTGTCTGTTCAAGTAAATTCTTTCCATACCTGAGCCAGGTGAAGATCGTACTGCTGCATATTAACCAAATGATTGCGAATCAGCAACTCCACAGCCTCCACGTTATATTTATATTCATCCCGACATTCAATTAGGCACCTAGAAAAAGTCAGTATTCCTTTATTCATATAGGCTTAACCATACTCTCTCAGGTAAAATAAAGAATATATTTCATTCAACGGAAATTTGCTCCAAATTAACAATGTCTTGAGAGTCAACTGCAAATCAGTTCCCAAATTTCGAAACAGGTTACTGAAATTTCAAAACAGTACTGAAGCAGGATAGATACCCCTGGGTTAAGCCCAATCCAGTGTTAAGACAGCCTAGTCTTTGCTTCCAAGCTTACCAAAGAGAGGATTTTTCTATTTAAGACTTTAAAATACCTATATATGAATGCCACTGCTGTGAAATCATTGGAACCTTTTAAAACAATGACCTACAATTTATTCCCCAAAACAAGGTATTGGTTATCTATATCCATCATGGGTAGGTGAAGACCAGATGGAAAAAGGACAACCCATTTAACAATTCTCACTTCTTAGAATCAGTTAAGTCCAAATGTCTCATTTACCTTCTAGAAAAAAGGGACAGGGCCACATATGTCAAAAAGCAGTATAATAATTACTACTCTTCTAAGATGGCTACTGACCTTGTAATCTGTTTGTTGCACCATGGAGACCCATATGCCCGGCCATCCTGCAAAGCTTTTAGGACCAAGAGGTGGCACTCCCTGTATCGCAGCAGTAAGTCAGCATCAGCACCACTTGTAGCATCTAATAAGCCCTCTACAGCCTATGGAAGAAAAAGTGTTCGGAACCATGGAAAATAGCCCAACTATCAAAGCCAGAAACCAAGCCTCAATGCAAACTACGACATACCTTCTAAACCCTCATAGCTGTTCTCTCCACTCTACAAATATCCTATTCAGTTGCCTGATACACACACCAAATTTAATCTAGATTAGGTTCATTCTGTGTTCTTCATTGTCATAAAAGGTTCTGCTGTCCCTACATAGTCAAAATCCAAGGCTTCCCCACCTACCTTGACCCATTACCCAAACATTTGGGTCAATCTGTCCCTCAAAATCTAAAGGACTATCTTTTAAAGTTTCTTCAATAATTATTTTTCCTTAAGGAAAGGTTTTCTGGAAATATAAAGATTTCCCATTTTATCATTTGAAACTGCCATGACTATATTCTACTCTGGAAAATCACCTACTTATATAATAGAACTTGATATATATTAGTTTTTTAAATCTTAAGTCTGAGGGTTGCGATCCGTTGCCGGTCATGAAAAAAGACAAAAAGGAAAAAAAAAAAAAGTTGCTGTGTAGATTCCTCTAATTAGGCCAAACACTAAAGTTAAATCAACCTCATGGATTTAAAATTAAAAATCTCTTGTATGCCATACTGATCTGATACAAAGAATATCTATTAACTGAACAACTGTGGGGTTTTTTCCCCCTATAACTTAAACTCCCAGGAAGCAATGGATAAATTGACAAAAACATGCAAATTGAATTGTGTAACACTCAATTTAATCAAAGCAAGTACTTACCTTCATGGGCTGAGCTAAAAATCCTGTGGGCTGACTTAAGTCATTTGTAGGCAAGAAGCCAGGCACATTGCGTGCAAACTCTTCATAAACAGCCAGCTGCTTTGGGTCCACACCACCAACCTTGGAAGAAGAAAACCTATTTTGACAGGATCCACTCCACAATCAAAGGAAAGCTTTTTTTGAAAGTGGTAAGTTGGGGGCTGGCTGGTTAGCTCAGCTTGTTAGAGTGTGGTGCTGAAAACATCAGGATACAGGGTTCAATCCCTGTACCAGCCAGCCACCAAAAAAAAAAAAGTGCAAAGTTTACATGAGGGCAAACACAGGGGTTCTGAGAAAGGACTGGGGCCGGCCCGGTGGCGCACTGGATAGTGCGCTGCTTGGGAAGTGCGGCGGTGCTCCCGCCCAAGGGTTCGGATCCCACATACAGACCGGTTCCCGCTCACTGGCTGAGCGAGGCACGGGAGCAACACCGAGGGTT